GCAATAACATGGAAGGACCTAGAGGGAATTATGCTAAGCGAAATAAGCCAGACTGAGAAAGACAATACCATATAATTTCACTTATATATGGAATATAAACAAGTACTGGGACAAAGAAAACAGTTCAGTGGTTACCAAGGGAAGGGGGATGGGGAGGCACTGGGGGTGAAGGGGAGCACTTACGTGGTGACAGTCAAGAAATAATATACAACTGAAATCTCACATTGATGTAAACTATTACGAACTCAATTAAAAAAAAGCAAAAAAAAAAAACTTCAATATGCCGTGGACAGGACTATCATCTCCACCCACATCATTTCTTTCATTTCACAAAATAAATATCATAAGTTCAAGCTTTTAAAATTGAGGTACAATTTATAAAAATAAAATGCACTGATTTTTGGGGTACAGTCTGATGTGATTTGACAAATATGTACATCCACATAAGCACATCCAAATCAATTAAGGAGCATTTCCATCACGTCAGAAAGTCCTCTTGTGTCCCCGTCCAGTCAATGCCCTCCCTGCTGACTGCACCCCAGAGGCCACCACCGTTCATACTTATATCACCATAGATTAATTTTGCCTCTTCTAGAACTTCACATAAATGGAATCCTATTGTATATACTCTTTTGGGTCTGGTGTATTTAGCTAAACAATCTTTTTGAGAGTCACCCATGGTCTGTATATAAATTGTTTGTTCCTTTTTATTGTAATATTCCATTAATAAATGTACCACAGTTTGTTTTCCTAGTGGTTCTCAAACTTTTTGACCTCAGGACCCATTTACACTCAAAATTATTGGGTTCTAAAAAAACTTTTGTTTATGCGGGTTATATCCACCAATATCTATCACACATAAAGCAAAACTGAGAGATTTTTAAGGTAGTTATTAATTCATGTAAAATGATAATAAACCCATGATATGTTAATATAAATAACATTTTTTATGAAAAATAACTATATTTTCCAAAACAAAATCAGTGAGAATGGCAGGAATGGAGGTTTTGAAAATCTCTTTAATGTCTGTCTTCATAGAATACAGCTAGACTTTCACACCTGCTCTTGCATTCAATCTGTTGCTATACCATGTCTGGAAAACTCCACTGTTCACTCTTGTGAGAACGAGAGTGAAAAAGGGAAATAACATTTTAGTGTTACTATAAAAGTAGTTTTGATTTCACAGGGTTTGGGGACCACGGACCACACTCTGAGAAAGTCTGGCTTATTCAGTCACCTATTTACAGACACTAAGGTTGTTTCCAGTTTTCATGCCTCTTTTCACAGCTACAAATAGCATTGCTGGGTCATAACTTTCTAAGAAACTGCCAAACTGTTTTCCAAAGCGGTTATACCAGTTTACGCTCTCACCAGCAATGTATGAAAGTTCCAGTTGATTTACGTGCTTGTCAGTCTTTTTAATTGTAGCCATTCTATTAGTGTTCAGTGGAATCTTATTGCTTTCAATTTGCATTTTGCTAATGTCTAATTATGTTGAGCATTTTTTGGTGCACTTAATTGGCCATTTGTCTAGCTTCTTTTGTGAAGTGTCTTTCCAGCCTTTCGGCTTTTTTAAAAAGTTGTCTTTTTACTACTGAGTTGTAAGAATTCTTTATGTATTCTGAATATAAGTCCTTCATCAGATATATGTATTACAAATATTTTCTGCCAGTTTGTGGTTTGCATTTGCATTTTCTTAATAGTCTCTTTTAATAAACAAATTTTTTTAATTTTTAAAATTTATCTAAAGTATTTTATTGGGTTATAACTTACGTACAATATAATCCACAGATCTTGACAGTTCAGTTCAGTAAGTCTTGAAAATTGTATTCCTCTATGTAATCAAAGCTCCACCAAGACATAGAGTATTTCTATCACCCCATAAAGTCTCCTTAAGCCCCCTCCAGTCAATTTCCCCCTTCCACCACAGGCAATGACTTTCTTGATCTTTACCCTCAAAGATCACTTTTGCCTATTCTAGGACCCCATATATATGGAATTATAAAGAATGTATTTTTTTTCAGGCTTCTTTCGTTCAACATAAGATTCATCCATGTTTTGGGGTTTAACAATAGTTTGGCTTTTTTTTTTTTTTTTTTTTTTTTTTTTTGCTGTGCACTATTCCATTGTGTGGACACACCACAATATGTTCTTCTATTCTCTTCTTCATGAATGCTTTGTTTACTATTCTCCCAATTTTGGGTTCTTATGAATAAGGCTTTTTTTGGAAATATGTCCATATGAGTAAGTCTTTTTTTTGGACTTACGTTTTCATGTCTCTTGGGTAAATGCTTCAGAATACAATTGCTGGGTCATAGATTTAACTTGTTAAGAGACTGCAAGAAAACTCTCCACAGTGCTTAAACCACCTTGAACTCTCAGGAGCAAAGTATGAGAGTTTTACTTGCTTCACACGCTTGTCAGTCTTTTAATTTTAGCCATTCTAGTGGGTGTGAACAGGCATCTCACTGAGGTTTTAATTTGCATTTTGCATGACTAATGATAGTGAACTTTTTCATATATTTAAATGGCTATTTTGAGGTCTTCTTTGGTGAAGGGTCCTTGAAAGTTTTTTGCCCACTTTTTTACTTGGGTTGTTTGACTTGTTATTATGAGGTTGTAGGAATTATTTATATATTCTGGGTACAAGTCTTTTGTTAAATGTGCGTGTGTCTACGTGTGATATATAGAATATTTTCTCTCAGATTATGGTTTGCCTTTTCAAGTTTTAAACAGTGTCTTTTGGTGAACAAAAGTGTTTACTGTTGAACTCTAACGCATTAATTTTTTCCTTTTTAATTAGTGCATTTTGTGTCTTGTATACAAAATCTTTGCCTATATCTTTGAAGGTTGTCAAGACACTCCTATGTTTTCTTCCAGAAGCCTTATATTTTTAGCTTTTATGTTTAGTTTTATGACACAGCACGAATGAATTTTTTTGTAGGGTGTGAGATAGAGGTTGAGGTTCTTTTCTTTTTCATATAGATATTCGATCATTCCACCATCATTTGTTGAGATGTTTCTTTTTGTATTGAACTGCCTTGCTACCTCCTTTGAAAATCATTCTTGCCTCTCCATTCTGTCCTGAGGATTTATTTGTCTAAACTTATGCCAATATCACATTGTTTTAATTTCTGTTGCTTTATAATAAGTCTCGAAATCAGGTACTGTAAGTTCTCCAGATTTGTTCTTTTTAAAAAATTGTTTTAGCCATTCCAGGTGCTTTGCCTTTTCATAGAAATGTTAGAATTAGCCCAGCAATTTCTATTTTAAAAAGCCTGTTGGGACTCTGATTGGGATTGCACTGAATCTGGAGATCAGTTTTGGGAGAATTAACATCTTAACAATATTGAGTCTTTTAATCCATGAACACGGTACCTCTCTCCATTTATCTGCTGTCTATAACTTCTCTCTGCAAAGTTTCTGGTTTTTTAATACAGAGTTCTTGCACGTCTTTTGTTAAGTTTATCTCTAAGTATTTCATGTCTTTTGATGCAAGTGTGTAAACTACTTTTCATAAATTTCATTTTCCACTTGTTTGTTGCTCATACACAGAAATACAACCGGCTTTTGTACATTAACCTTGTATCTCATGACTTTGTTAAACTCAAGGATATCAGGGGAGTTTGTATGCAGACTTGGGGGCATCTCCTCTTGTGGTTCCCTCCTTTCTGGCATTTTCTGCTTCCACATCCAGCCACTCTGGCAGCCTCAACTCTGATCTCTAACTCCTCAGCCCAAGACTGCTGCTTTTTCCTTGAGTTCTAGAAGCCATGAAAGTGGACTGAGAGTGCCCACGAAGGAAAAGCTGAATAAGTGTGCCTCTCACTCAGTGCAGTTTCCATCTTTCATGAGATGAAGCCCTCTCCTGCTTTTGGTCACTCTCCAATGCCTTCAAATCAATCGATTTTTAGTATTTTGTACAGAGCTCATAACTGGTATTGGCAGGAGTGTTAGTCTGATATAAACTACTACACCATGCCAGTAAGTCTAATACTCTATCATCAGTTGTAAAGATATCTCAATTTTTATTTTTATTTTTATTTTTATTTTTGCTGAAGAAGATTCATCCTGAACTAACATCTGTTGCCAATCTTCCTCTATTTTGTATGTGACCTGCTGTCACAACATGGCCACTGATACATAGGTGCCCAGGAACTGAACCTGGGCCACCAAAACTGAGCATGCTGAACTTAACCACTGGGCCACAAGGGCTGGCCCAAGATATCTCAATTTTTACTCAAAACTATAACCTGAATACTTTTAAGAGGATAGGACATATGTTAGCTGGAGGTAAACATCCTCTGAACTTCCTTCTGGCCCAAGTGAATGATCCTCTTCCTTCTTGACCTCTTGATCTCTGGGCCGCTGCTCACAAAACCAGCCCCCTCTTCTTTACTAACTCTCCCTCTCTGGCTTCTGTGACGTGGCACTCTCTATGCTTCTGGATGCCCTTTTTCTGTTTTCTTCGCTGCTTCTTCACCCATTAGCTCAGTTCTTGGCCCTTATTTCCCTTACCCTACTGAATACCGCAGGAAAATACCTATTCAAATTGCTTCTGTAAAGAAAATGTTTTCGTATGAAATAGGGGACTCACTGAGGGGGAACCTCAACCAGTCTGCAGGTCCTTCAAGTAAACTGTCCACAAGAGGGCATCTGGATGACCGGATTGTCCAGTGATTTATTCTGCGACGAACTGTTTCCACTGGTGGTGGAGCAGAAGAGAGAGAAGGAGAATAGTAGACTGAAGGCCGAGGAGATTCTGAACTCTAGAAGTTTGAAGTACTTCTAGATTAGAAAAGACTTGCTTATAGTGCTTCCTTTCCCAGGGTAATTTACCAGATGGAATGTACCACCTAAAGACGAAATCATAAAGAAATGCTACTTCCTTTTAACTTAGCAGGAACAAAATCAGAGTACAGTGGTCTTTTCACTTACTTAAAACCCGGATAATTAATGATAAAAATATTTCTACTCCATGTATAATAATCTGCTCCTACCTGTTGTTAAAATTAGTACAGTAGGTAAGGTTTCTACAGCCCAACTGACAAGGTTCCCGAACATCTGCTAAACAGGTCAACATGGACACTTCCACTGGATTATATTCACAAAAGCGATCAAACTCTTGCCAGCTCTGGGTGTTGCCCCAGCTCATGCTATAAAGTTTAGTGCACAGTTCCCTAAAACAAAAGCACAAATGCAGAAACACAGATGAGCCAAATGAACAAATAACTGATTCACATAAAACTCAAACTCTATGAACTGTACTTTAGAATATAAATGAGAAAAAAAGTACAAAAACCAAAAGACTAAGATCTCCTATAATTTAGAGCCAGGAAAAGTGATCTTTCCATGAAAAAGTTAGCCTTCTCTTATTTTCCATCTCCTTCCCTTCTGCCATGGTTGCTAGAAAGCTCAGCGCTAAATTTAATGTTTAATTATAGTATTTGTACATGTTTATTTTTAGCACAATTACTTCCCTCTATATTTCTGATCTCTCTTTTACCTTCACTTAGAGTAAGGTAAAGCAAACAGTTTTGCCTCCACAAAGATATATTCCACTATATTTATGTTCCCATTACAAGAGGCCAAACTGTGACATGGTCCTCAGACTTCTTTTAAGCAGCATTATAGACTTACAGTTCACTAGTTTCTCCCTGAAAAACTACCCTAAAGCCACTTATATTCCTTAAGATATACCAAGACAGTCTACATGGAAAGGCTTATAAATTCCCAAGCTTCTATATACCACTGTATTATGTATGTATTCTTTTCAGTACTTGATGAATACAAAGCAACTCAAGTGCATGCGTATAGCTAAAATATTATCAGTACCATTTCCAAAGGTTTTACACATGATATTCATCAGTTTAATTTTTTTAATTTATAAATGTAAAAAAAATGTAATACACGTAATACAAAATTTTAATAATACCAAAATATACAAAATCACTCCTCCACTCCTGTCACATTTTATTTGACTCTCACAATTACCCCAGTGAGAGAGTATCTGTCCTTTTATGTTTGTTCATCACTCCACCAGGGCTTACTGAGTGCCTGTTTTGTGTGAGGCCCTGTTGGAGGCACTGGATATGCAGTGGCACATAAAAGAAACAAGGTCCCTGCTCTCAATGGAACTCACACAACACGGGGATGAGGAAGCTGAGATCAAGTTACTTCAGACACCCTGATCTGGAAACCAGCCCTTCCTCTAGTCCTTACCTCTCTGTATGACCTTGCACAGACTGTTTAACATCTCAGAGTTAGTTTTCTATATATAAACAGGAATTACACAAATTGAGACTAATCATAAGATGATACCAATCATCTTATAAGGTTTCATGAGGACAAGGTAAGGTGGAAGTGAAAGTATTCAGTAAACCACAAAACCTTACATCAGAGAAAGAGAGGGCCAACAGTGTTTTTTACTGAAGTTCTTCCGGGATGACACAGCCATTCCAAGCTCCAGTAACTATAAGGCATAAAATTTTTTGTGGACATTCAAAGAATTACTCAGTACCCCTCCCATAAATACATTTATTAATTCCTATCAAAATCCCAATTTCCTTAATTATATCACCAACTTAACTTCTCTTTAAGCCATTCTCTTAATTTTCTTTGGGCGTTTTCCAGATTTTTCACATCTTTGGTAAAGTTTGATGAGCTATTCTAGGCAGAATTTTTTGCTAAAGGTCCATCCAGTTTAGAACCCATGGAAAGACTGTTTCACTCCTGGTATGTCATATTCATTCCAGGATATTCTAGTAATATGTTGTCTTTTTTCACTCAAAATATCCTTAATAAAGCAAAATTCTCTTTCACCTGTGTTCTACCATGACCTTACCTCCATTTATTCTTGTCTCTAGATTGTGTTTCTTCCATCCTATATTTGTATTGTTAATTTTTTATCCCTAAGCGTGTCACTCAAATGAATGCCAATACACTGCTATCAAACTTTGGGTGCCCGTGTCAACCCAGGTTATTCACCAATCCACACAAAAGGTCGGTTAAGTTCAAAGTTTCATAATCTAACAAAGAGAATATCCCCTAGACGTCAGATCAAAACATCTTCTAAATTGTAAGCTTACTTAATGATAACTTTGAGGGTAGAATTCATATTGCATCATCTTTTTTTTCTATAGTTTGTAGTTCAAAAAATAATCTCTTTATTAAACCTGTTACAGTAGGATCCATCTTTCAAAATAGAAGTACCAAAAACTTCTGGTAGGATTGTCACCAAAAATGTAATCACTGAGCAATGGTGTTAGAAGGTATTTTCCTTTATGTTTGCTTCTCTGAATTCTCAAATTTTTTCTACAATGAATGTGTAGTTTTTTTCTATTCAGGTAACATTGGCTTGTAACATTATATAAATTTAAGGTGTACATCATTATATCTCAATTTCTGTGTAGATGACATCATGTTCACCACCCAAAGACGAATGACCATCCATCACTGTACAGAGGTGCTGAGTCATCCCTTTAAATATTATTGCCCTGCCAATGCTGATCCTCCACACTCCAAAACACAGTGCTTTTAGCACTCAATGTACAAAAACAATGTTTTATGGACACACGATGCTAAATAAATATTTGCTGGATGAAAGAATGAAAGATTTCATATCTTCTAAACTCTTAAGTCTACACAATGCAAGAATATACCACATATTTGCTAGACTTAAAATCATTGATTAAAATGCTATTTTCTACAGGGTTATTAAAGGAAATTGAAATACTGACCTATACTTTGAAGTATTTGCTTTAGAACAACAATGCAATTTAGCCCCATCAAGGCCCATAGAGGGAGGAGGGTATAGAGTGACTCCAGGGTGAACAGACTGTGAGCTTTCGAGAAAACACTGCCAGAGAGGATCCTGAGGCAAGGGCTGGGTCTTACAACCCTCGATGAGGCCGTCCACAATCTCCATTTCTGTTTTCTTAGACATCAGAATTCTCCTGCAGGCGTTTTGGCAAGCATGGTCTTCAGCTCTGCCACAGCAATATAAACCTACATTTTCAGAATATAAGTGGCTAAATTAGCTGGTGTTATGTCATGCATTGCTCAGAACAGAAGAACATGGCGGTGTACTGGAAACCATTGCTACTCTGAGCCATATGTCAATATCTGTGGGACACAGGGCCTACCAAATTCTCTCTCCATTACTTTGCAGTGTAGCAGATAAGTGAAGAGCTAAAGGTGGACAAGATGTCTGTTACCAGAATTCACTACTGTCCCCAATCATGGGACCTCTAGCACCATTCCTACACAAACAGAAGGTCATCCTACACCAACAAGTCCTTACATGTGAGGTATTTCATGCTCCTGGAAAAGGTGCTGTAGATCAAACTGGAACTATTTCCTGCTAGAAATGACTGCCTAAAAGGGATTATGTTCTCAACACATTGAGAGATATGACATTTTAATAGCAATAACCACAAACATCGTATTTCATCACACTCTGGGATATAAAGCTTTTATAAATCCGTACAAGCTAGTTATCTAAGTTATAATTTAAATAATACAATAGCAAACTCTGACTAGATATCAGTTTGCTTCAGCCCTTAATTTTCTGCAAAGAATCAGGAAATCAAACAACGCTTTCAACCAGACTACAGAATTCAGAAGGGTTTCTTTGAAGGAGTTGTCTCAGGTGTCTCGACTCTTTAAGAAAGGTATTCAGGTAGCGTTCTTCTCCAGATTTCCTCTGTATTAGCACAGACATTTGGGATGGTTCTTCTTCTACCCTTAAAACATCTTTCCGCTCTTTTTGGAGCCACTATCACCTTAGCTCCCGCAGCACCTCCACAGCCTAAACATCAGTGAAGACAGATCTGCCTTTAAAATGAATGAAGGCTACTTGTGGCAAACGCTTCACCTTCTGATTTTCATCACAGAGCCACACCACAGAATGTCGCCAGTCTTGGAGTTCTGCTTTAGACGCTGGCCAAACAAGGACAGAGCACCGCTTTTGCGTTTACAAAACAAGTCTTTCACATTCCAGCATAAATCAAAACATTGGCATCTGGCTTATAAATCTTACAAGTTTTTTGTCACTTTGGTTAATTAGTCAGTTCTTTAAAGTTTGATCATCTCTAACTGAAGAAAATGGATTTTAGGACATACAAAGCAGAAACACTGAAGACTCCATAAGATGCAGCTTCATTAGGAGGCCCTGACTAAAAAACGTTATCAAGACCTCTTCTCATTTTTATGATATTTTTATTAGAAAAGTAATAACTGCTCATTGGTAATAACTGAAACATTACAGACATATAATGTGGAACAAATAAGTATATAACTAAAAATAAGTGTCATACTATACATTTAGTTCTAGTTCTGCAACTTGCGTTTTTTGCTTATTATATCTTGGACTTCAATGTAAACATACTTGTTTCTGTTGGTTGTATAGTGTTGTTATTATATATATATGATTTATTGAGTCAATTTTAATCAATATTTCTATTGATGGATGTTTGGGTTATTTCTAATTTTTGTCTATTACCACCAATGTTGTAGTGACCATTCTTTATAAGCATAGATATGTTTTTCCAAATTTGTGAGTTTTCTTGAAGGACAAATTCTGAAAAATAGAATTGCTAGATTAAAAGGTATGATTAATTTGAAATTCTCATGGTCAAAACCCAACTTCCCCCCCAAAATATCCACACCACCGAATTCTCCCAGTGCCTGTTTCTTCATACCCTTCAGACCCTTGACAGTTCTGTCTTTCTTGGCATCTTTTAGCCATGACAGTAATGTCCAATCTGCTAAATCTAAACACCAAAGGATGTCTGGTGTTTCCCAAATGATCCAGACTGCAGATATCTTCAAGAAATTACCTCTTTTTTACAAATTATTTTACCAAAGATTGAAATGAGAGGAATAATCTAACTTTTTACTTACTATCTGTTGGGTTCCTCATTGGATAAGATTGGGTGTAATTGTTCACACAGTGTATTAATTGCGGACTAATAGAGGCATAATAATTTTCCACTGCTTTGATCTGAGATGGACCAGGAGAAGAGTCTGTTCAAAAACTGGCTTGACAGTATTCTCGGCAATTTGTGTGATGCCCTGCATAACTACAACACACTGAGCCCACTGGGGGAAGAAAAGGAGATGACATTGAAATGGAAACAGCTATTTGCTAACATTAAATCATCATCATAATGCTGGAAAAATACGTCTTTTTGAATTTGAGAAATAAAACCATGCCATAGAAGACAAGTACTGTACTTAAAACCAGCACTGCTGGAGGCCTAGCCATGGGGACATTCAGGTGCTCACTGGTATAAGAAAGTCACTATCCATCAACCTACAGTCTATAGTCCCGTGGTCCTCAACAGGGGCGGTACTCGCTCCCTGGGAGAACTTGAATGCCTGTGGAAGTGTTTCTGGTGTTCGTGATGACTGGGGGACTCTGTTGACTTTTAATGCATGGGGCTCAGGGCTGTAAATGCTCTGCAAAGTACAGGACAGTCTCACACAAACAAAACTGTCTCCCAAAATGCCAACAGTGCCCATGTTGAGAACCACCGGGACAGCTTCTTTCCATGTTAGATTTGTGGAGATTTATAAACAAAGCAAAGCAAAACCAAACTAAAACAAAACTCAAATGCCTCATATTTATAAAAACTAAGAGATATCAAGATCTTTTCATAAATTGGACAATTATATAACTGTATATCTTGAAACAAAATCCTGAAAGTTCTATACTGTTTGGACATCTTCAAGAATATGCCTAAATTGAAAGTTTTCACCTCACAATTGATATAACCTGCTTCAATACTGAAGAGTAAAACCCACATTTGAAATAAATATGACTCTGGACTTATGTATTTTTATAAATCAAGGGGGACCATTTAAGGTATCTGGGCAGAGCTAGATGAGTGGCTAGGGGTGCAGATGGGGGACATATAATGGAGAAGAGCAAGAGACCCTCACAGGAGAGCTAGAGAGGTCTGCGGGAGGCTGAATGGAGCCAAGGTAGAGGTATGGCAGGGAAAGGTTAAGAGAAAGGTAGGAAATCTCCGATAATTTTTACAGATGGTTGTGCACGAACCAAAACCAGGTTTCTGGTGAATTCCATAAACCAGGGAACGAGCAGGGAATTCAGGCAACTTCCAGAAATAATAATGATGATAAAATCATATGCAAACTAACTAAACGAGGACTGAACTGATACAGGAAAGTGTTTTATACTTATTCTGCTGCCTAAGTTTTTGACTTGTAATTACTACCAAACTTACTGTGTTCATTGCTGAATTCTTCATTTTCATCACAAAGAACAATTATTAATGGCTACATTTATCACTGTCAACCTCAACAAGGATAAACTGGGAGTGGGGAGGGGATGCCGAAGACGGAAGTGAGACAAGTGAGAAAAGGACAAGGATGCCGATCTTCTGACTCCCCCATTACGCTGGCTTCTTTACCAGTGTGGGGGGACCTAAGATTACATGCCAGAGACTATCTGGGATATCTTAAACTCAGCCCCAGTTAGAAAGGGTAGAAGAGACAGCCAGTATTTCTTACTCTCCTTTGATACACCCCACTGCCAAGCTAATCTAAACAGCTCTGTTCCTCAGATGCGTTTCCCCATCGCTAACCGCTCTCGCTATTCCCTTCACCTGGAATGTCCTTCCCCCAGCCTCCACTGTTCACATCTTGTCCATCCTTCGAGGCCCAGTTCAGCTACCAAGTCCACAAAGTCACCTCTAAGCACCCCTGCAGGATGTGATCCCTACTTCCTCTGAACTCCCACAGCACTTTATCAGTGACACTATCCCATATCCACCATGTCCCAGTGTTCTTTGTGCACAGGTTGTGTCCCCCACAGATGTGGTCTGCCCTGCACGGAGCAAGCAGTGAATGAACGTCTGCTGAATGAACTGAGAGGCGGCCCTGAGCAAGTGCTGCATTGCATCATGGGGGAGTGCTTCCCTTCTGAAAGTGATGCCATTATTCACGCGGGGCGTGATCTTCCTCTAGCACACCCAGCACTAGTCTCTGCTTTGCAAATCTGCAACTAGGATACGGGAACTGTTGTAATTCAAGAATGGCCTGAACACTCCAGAGGAAGGAGCCTATCGGAATCCCGCCGTGTACAGTACTTCAGATGGCTTACTGACAACCTCAGTTCTACTGCCAGGGTCTTGGCAATATTTAGACAGCTAAATCCGATTCATAAACTGTGCTTTGCTCTTTGGACTGGTTACATAACCATCGACAATATACTTACTTTCATTTCAGCTAATGCGACTGAAAAGAACATTCTGTAAATTAAAGAAAAACAGAAATGGGCAACCACAAAGAATTTCTAATTTTATTCCACTTTATCGTTACATGGAAATCAGGATATCAAACTCAGTAAGTCTTCTCTAAACCCAAAACTGAAAACAAAGAAGCTGCGAGATGGCATCCTGGTGAAAAGGGAAATCATCTTCCAGCACGTATTGGGGATCAAGATTACCTCTCGAGCCATAAGCTGACCACATCAGAGCAAACCAAGTTTACGTAAAGCAGTACCAATGTGTGTATGTGGAGGAACTTACAATGTATCAGTTCACAACGTCTTGTAGTATATAATACAGGACATTTAGGGAGACATATATTTCATAGAAACACTGCATTTTAGAGCCGAAAGGACCTTGGAGGCCATCTCTAACCGTTCTCACACACGGCCTCACACTAGAATCCCTTGGGCTTCCCAGGCCTTACCCGAGAACGCAGGATCAGAACCTGGGGGCAAAGCACAGAAGTCTGCATTTTAAGCAAGGCCTCAAAGATAACTCTTACATAGCCACCCTGGGGCCAGAGATGGGGAACGTCTCTACCGTTTGACAGATGAAGAAACTGTTTCCTCAGCAGAGGAGAGACTGCCCCAGGTCACAGAGCAAGCCAAAAGCAGAGACTGAGATAGAATTAGTGTTTCTAGAGCTCTGAGATCACTGTTCAGAAAACATCATACTGTGTTAAAGTCTTTGTAGGAAAATAAGAAGCAAAACAAGACAAAAACAAAAAATTCACTGTACAAACCCATTTGGATATTCATGGCTTGTCAACAATGATTAATATCACTCACAACTGGAAGAGAATGAATTCTTCAAAGAAATACTATGGGCATAAACGAAAGGTAGATGGAAATCAAGTGCACCCTTATTGTTGAATACAGATGATTCTGGCTTTTAATTACAGCTAACGCACAAGCCAGCCACGTGATCTGGATTTGTTAAAGGACCAGCTTTACTGACAGTTAAAACCCAGGGATACTTGAAGTGTCCCTCTCTGTAGTGGTGTGAAGCTGCTCCACATTCATTTTCTCCGTAAATAATATTCTACTGTAGGAATAAACCACACTTGATTTATCCATTTAAAGTGAAACAAAACAAAACAAAAACCCCAGGCCTCAGAGATGAGGGCTAATGAATTCACCCAATATGAACTCTTTCTGCTAGAGATCTCATCAAACAAGATAAAAGTGGTGAAAAGTAAATACTCCTGGTGTTCTTGACAATGATCTCTCTTCATCCATGCTTCTTTGTTTCTGAATTTTCTGCTACTGGTTGTAGCCAGCCCTCTATTCTGGTTCAATGGTTTCAGGAACACTTTCCATAAAATGATCTAAATCAGTATTAAAAAGCAATCTGCTGCCAACTTTCAAGCCTCCCTTGATTGGGTGAATACAATTCTCATGGCCCTTCTCTTTCTAATAAGCTTGTTGTTCCTTTGGTTTTGGCTTTTTTAGCCTTGTACCTGAAGAAGCGTGTTTATTATCTTGGTGGCCATTCTGGGTTGCACGGTCTGACTTCCACTTTTGGTATTCTTCTATTATCTCAAAGTCTCTGGAGCAGTAGTTCTCAACTGTGGGTGACTGTGCCAGGGGACATTTGGGAATGTCTGGAGACATTTTTGGTTGTCATAACTGGGTGCAGGGGGCAGCGTATGTGCCACTGGCATCCAGCGGGTAGAGTTCAGAGATGCTGCTCAACATGCTACAATGCACAGGACAGCTGCCCTACAACAAAGGATGACTCAGCTCCAAATGTCAATAGTGCCAAGGTTGAGACACCTTGTTCTAGAGACTTACGAATCTGTTGAAGCCGGATTTTTAAAAATTTGACCTTACAAATAAAAGAAATACCATTCTGTGGATCACTTAGCTTCAGAGAGAAGTATTAAAAGACACAAACCCTGAAAAATGTCAGAGATCATCTAAACCAACTCCTTATTTGACAGGAGCCAGATATTGAGGCCTAGAAAGGAGAAATACTTAGGGACCCTGGCTTTCACCCACAAACAGGTCGGTATACTATGGCACACAGGCCAAATCTTGCCCAGTGCCTGTGTTTGTAAATAAAGTTTTATCGGAACACAGTCACATCCATTCGTTTACATAATGTACATGGCTATTTCATTCACACTACGATGGTAGGTTGTGTAGACAGAAACCACGTGGCCTGCAAGCCTGAAATATTTGCTATCTGACCCTTTACAGCAAAAGTTTGTCAACCCCTGATGTAGAAGAAGGGCATAGGTGTCTCCCCTGATGTCAAATCCAGAGTTCAGAGATATTCCCTAAGCACTTCTCATTTCTCTAATGTTCACTGAGACCTTTCTTGCTTAGGTTAACCCTCATTTGTTGAACTAAAAACTTTTATATTTCCACATGGCAGCACCTCTAGTATTCATGAACTGTTTTTACATCTTTATCTTCGTCTTGCCCAATTTTAAGGTTTAAAAGAACGATCCTTCATTCAAGTATACCAGCATTTGGCTCTGTTGCTTACTTTATACTCATGATTTCATAGACTTCAATCGTATCCCCCTATTTGATAAAAGGTTCCTAACCTTAGGTGACTATACGTAGGTATAAACTATACCATAGATAGAGATACCTAAGGTAGAATCTATAGGTAGTGCTACTTTTTCATCACTTAAATTATTGCTGATTCATTTGACAGGGCTTAAGATATATATGTAATGAGTTACGGCATTAATGTAAAGTTTCTTCATTTCTTAAGATAGCCAATCTTGGGGTCTTAGTGAAGTCAATCCTTAAGTCTTTCAAATGTCTGATCACCATCTGGTGGCAAAAGCAGAAGTAACTGATGGTTTACACTCACTTGTATGGAACCTCTTTGGACCTTCCACCACCAATCTATACCCAGTGTGCCTCCATGTAACAGTTCCCTCACCTCACTCATCTAACTCTAGAACAGATCAAAGTTACAGCGTTACTGAGGTGAGGATCTGCCACAACCCCAGAGACCCAAAGAACACGTCAGTGTACTGGAGTCGACACGGTCCCAGGAGACCTTCAAATCCCTTCCACAACCTCAGAGACCCAAAGAACATGTCAGTGTACTGGAGTCGACACGGTCCCAGGAGACCTTCAAATCCCTTCCACAATATGTGAACCTAGTAAGGCTTTGCTTGAACATTTCCAGTGACGGGAAGTGCTCTTTTTCTTGGAATATCTCATTCTAACACCCTCACTACTGAATGAGGCCTCCTATTGAAATGGCAGATCAGTATCTGGCTCCTCCTCTTCTAGTTCCCTAAAGAACCAATTTTCAAAACTCAGCTCTCTTGTTTTCTCTACACTTTCTCTTTCATAGAGCTTTCTTTCACTCTCAACGTTCAAGGGTTACTTCACGGTTGACCTTGGGCATGGTATCTCTCCTCAACTTTAGTCCTGTATTTCTAATTACCTCTGAGATACGTGTTTTTACATTTAAAAAGACATAACACTCAGTATACTTCAATTTCTTTAAAGTCCCTTCCCAATGTATACACTATTGTCTCTGTTTTTTCTTTTAAACTCAATAATACATTACTGTTTTATACGATCTCTGTGTGTGTTTTAATTTAGTTACTCTGTATTTTCATCATTCTCATTTTCTTTTGCACCTCAAATAATTGTAGATATTTTAGAACTTCCTTCAGAGAAGACTTCTAGAAGGGGTCTAGTAATGGCAATTCTCTGGGTTTTTTTATCTGGAAATATCTTAATTTTGCCCTCTTTCTTGAGAAATATTTTTGCTGGACATGGAATTCTAGGTTGATAGTTATCTTCTTTCAGCACAGTTTAGGTATCGCTCCACTGTCTCTGGCTTCCTCTGTCGCTAATGAGATATCAGCTGTTGGTCTTCTTTGAAGGCAAGGTCTTTTTTTTTTTCCACTGTTTTTAAGATCTTTGACTATGAGCTATATCTGTAATGTATGGATTTTTTTCTTTTTTAATCCTGCTGAGGATTTGTTGGGCTTCTTTAAACATTGCCTTTGCCCCATATTCTTTCTTCTTCTAGTATTCCAATTAGAACACTTTCTCTAACCTCCACGTCCCTTAAACTCTCTTTCAGCCTGTCCCTCTGTGCTGCTTTTCCATATAATTTCTTCAGTTCTATTTCCCAGTTCACTAATAATTGTTTTTTATACTTCTCTGAATATCACCTCATATATTCGATCCATCATAACAAATCCTGTAGGTGAATTCTGCCTTCAAATCTCTGATTTATCTCTGAATACTCAACTCTATTGCTGTCATTTCAGTTTTGGGCATTACCTGTTTTTTGTTAAATTAGAGGGGTTTGGAGGATCTAAAACTTAGCCTACACACAACTAAGACTTTCAGTTTTCTAAAATACTGGACTTGTTATTTGTTATGTTGGTCTCCTATTACAGATTTATCATCTCCCTCTACTTAATAATGGGTTGAGCCTCAAAATATCAGCTTTCCAGGATCTAGTCCCACTTTGCCTATCCAAGCACAGATTCACAGCCCCAAATAGGCCTATCTTCTTTTTGTCCCCTGCATAAGCCATGTGCATTTTTGCTCACATGCTTTTGATCCACAGTCTTCTTACCCAAATCATACCAAACCTTTCAGACCTCTCTCTTTTGAAAACTCTTCCGTGATAACTCCCAAGATGCTCTCTCTGCTTTCTGACTTCCCTGAGCCCTTGTGTGGGCAGTATATATCTTAATTATCTTGACTCAACTAGAGACAATTCTTTAGTATTTCAAGTCAAGTTATAAAGGGCTTAACCAGAATTCTAACCTAGGTCTACCTCCAAAGTTTGTGCTCTTTCTAATATATAAAATGGCTTCTCAGTATTCAATAAATATTTGTTGATTTGCATAGAAACCACATGCTATAAAATCAGATACAATAATGCTTTATATTTAACTGGTTGTTGGAACAAAACAGAATCTTAAATGGCATTAAAAATTTTTAACTTTATTCATGTAAGTAAATTTCTTAGGAAATCCCCTCAAAAGGGATTTTGCAGCAACTTACCAGTAAAGATAAACATTACCTCTTCCAAATATAACTACTCACTCTGAATCTCTAGTTAAACAACACAAAACCATCCTTCAGGGTAAATGCTAGTCCCTGAAACAGTAAGCCTAAAGGAGGAGCTTACGCATCTAGAAGTTCACCCCAGGGACCACAGTGTTAAGGAAAAGGTACTAAAAGCCTAGTTTTATAAACTATTCTAATGTTCATAAACAACCAGTCCAGTTAAAATAGGTTACACTGCACCAAACTTACCCAATTCACTTTATATCATCTCCAGACTAGACTTCAACACTCCTGAGAGGGACTGCTATTTGGGGTTTACAATGTAGATCCCTCTTTCTGCATTAAAGTGCTTGTCTCTCTTTTTATTTCTAAATAACACATAAGAAATCAAATTGAGTCTTGAGTTATCTTGAATAATTTGTAGGGTCAGTTTTAAATATACATATATATTACATATATAGTATATTACATGTATACATTTTACATATATATGTCAAAGAACCCTCTTGGCATACAGATTTTTGGGAAACGATTGCTTAATTCTAGGCCAAATAAGGGAGGATAGACCAGGAAAAGTAAACTACTCTTAGTATTTCTCTCATAGGGCAGTGTTTATCTCTCTTACCTTTCCTGTCCCGTCCTTCATCAACACATACCAGCTGACTTCATGGGGAAATGCAGAAATCCAGACAAGAGAAGGAAGCACACTAAAATAATGGAGGACAGGCTACAGGAGATGGACAGTGTCAGAGATCATGTGGGAGAAAAGAAGGAATTATCAGTTAGCCACTTTGTTCAAGAGAAACTAAAACTAGTTATTTCAAAGATAGGGAGATAAGAAAATAAGGAAAGATCTTTTACTTCTTTGTAGCAAAGCTCCTTCCAATAAGAACAGAGGAGAGTTGTAGTTAATTTGGAAATTTTTCTTCAGAGAAACAGATAAAACTTAGAAAATAATACAAAGAGATAAAAGATAAATAAGATTTCTCCAATTAAAAAAATATTAGTCAAGAGATAGACTTATAGGCTTTGAGAAAAGAAAAAGAATTCAGAACTACAATCTAGAAGCAGTTAAGAGCTGTTCTAGCTTCCTTCTCCGAGAGAATACAGACTATTAAAAGCAATAGGAATCCCAATGTTTACATATAAAAATGATGAATGAGGCATATGCACTTGTGTCCTTAATTACATGGTCTCACACTATGAAAAACAATAATATTTTCACATTTAACAGTGGAGTTCTAGAAACTGAACAAAGCAGTCCCACTGAGGAGCTTTTTACATTAGGGACAATCCTCTGTACATATTTGCATGATGTTGTGGGAGATCAAAATTGGCCATCCCAAAATGTATCTCTTTGCCTTGATTATTTTTAAGAACAAAAGACTCTGAAAGAAACTTTGGCCTTCTCCCTAACTGCCTAAAAGAATTTAAGATAAAGGTCCTGTCCCCAGGACAGGCCATCACCATAGATTACTCT